TCCCCAGTCTCCCCACACGGTTCCCTTTCCTGTTTCAGTTCCTACACCAGTCCATTCGCCGTCATTTTCCCAGAACAGCCTCTCCCCATATCCGTCTCCCTCGATTTCCTGCCTGTCTTTGAAAAATGCTTTTGCAGTTTCGCCGTAGCAGTTGTGTATTAGATAATCGAAAACTAGCGAGCGAACGAGAGCGTCGTCAGGGCCTTCTGTGTGTTGGTAAGAGTCTATGCAAGGATCCATGTCGGGTCGTATGCGAGAGGGAGTGGGATAATCGGACAACGTATGGCAACCGAATAAAATAAAAGACGGGAGGAGATAAAGGAGGGAAATGAGATAGCGTTATAAGAAGTAAAGAGAGAGTAGAATAAGGGTTTTTGAGAAGGTAGTGCGACTTGGACATTATGTAACCTAGCTGATATTATGTCATTAAGTCGATCAATTTGAGGAATTATGGTAATGATCATTGTTGGAACGAGCGTATAATAATTATAATTGGGTTGTCGTTGATAGGAGTTCTTGTATCGAACTTTGTATGCAGAACGCAAACACACATGCCATTGTTCTTCGTCTTATTCTATTAATAGAAAGTGACAAAAATTTCTCTCATTGTCGAGCGAGTCTTTTGTCTGCGTACGCCGTATTAGTATGTTATCACAATTAAACGCGCGTTATTTCTTCATCACATGACTTGAAGTCTTTTTAACATTCTATTTTTGATATTTACTTTAATATGTTTAAAACATGGTGGCTGGTGTGGCTAGATTTTATCCAATGAGCCTCCTTGCATAGTTCTTATTTGTTTATCATAGTAACTATTGTGAGGAACTTTTATTCACAACTTAATTATCTACTTTTTATTTTGTGTAATATTAAAAACTATACTGCACATCGTCAACAGGTTTACGTTAAGAAATTTCATAATATCAACAAGCTGAACTCGCGTTATTTCTGAGTATATGCCGCTCACTGTTAGTGCTAGTATTAAGTCCATTTATTACGTCCAATGGCACGTTTTGAAGGGTAGTATTCCATTGGTAGGAGGGATAACTCATTATTTGATGTTTCTGTTATCTCGGAAAAATATAATAACGATAAGTATCATTATTACCTATAGTCATACTCTTATGTGTTGTTTTTAAGTTGTTCTCGTATATCATAATACATTCTATCCACAAGATTTGTATTATTATCGAACGGAGGATATTTCCAACATATCCTTCATATAGCAACGGTCCACTAGGTATGCCATATTGTCAAGCCTCGTGATCGGATAGCTGGTTAATAATATCAACGCGTTGCTATGCCTAACGAGTAGCTATAGTAAATGCTGCTGAAAATAATAACCCGCTGTACAAATTAGCGATTAAACCTTCTTTGACATATTAGCGTTTTGTGCTATATCAAATTATTCAGCTAATAAAGTCTTAATTATACGTTCAAAGCAATAGATATCGTCTTAATAAGAAATAAGGAGTCGAATAATAATAAATGTAATGTTTTCATTCTTCAAACAACATCGATCCTAGCTGAAATCTACGCGCTCATATCTTTCGAGTGTACAGTACTAATTGGTTTATTTTTAAATATGCTTTCTAATCATTGTAATTAATCTAAGTCTTCCCTCGAGTATTATCTGGTTGTTCCATGGCAACGTCGCTATTATCGCCAATAACAACAACTTCTTTGTTATTCG